TGTGAACTACAAATATGCTACAAATGTCAATCCATCAGTATAAGAAGTCTGACATTTGCCGACTTTATTGATTCAAGGCAAAAACAAGAAATTCAGCAGACGACACCCATTAATTATGTTGTGTGTTGATGAAAACAACAGGGGTGAAGGTTGTGTGGATGTGGTGTATGTACATGTACATACTAACTACACTATTTTCTTGTTTTAAAAAAATTAAATTGGCTACGTAGTAAAAGTATTGAAGAATAAATAAACTATTGTATAAATATAGAGTTCTATTGGGACTAATCTAAAAATATACCAGGAATAATTTTCATCAGGAAATTATTTTATTTAAAAAAAAAAAAAAGAAGAAGAAATTCAAACTCGATCATTACTGTATAAACTCAAGGGATAAGAGGTTCAGCTCTCGTTTTCTCAATTGAAATAAACTATAATCCCATGCACCTCTCTCTTTCTCTCTCTCTCTCTCTCTCTCTCTCTCTCAATTTAATTTTTTACCTAATGATATAAAAACTGTATCATAACTACCTTTAAAATTTATTTAAGAAAATTTAAAAAAAAATTGCATGACATTACTAATAATAATTTTCATCGGTTAGCATGGTCATTTATTAAAAAGGAGTAGAATACATTATTCACGATAAGGTCATTCTGGAACAGTAATATTTTTCTCAACTTGTTTGGGGAAAAAATCTTATTGAACATCTTCCTTCTAGACAACTAATGTAGATATATTTTATATATTATAGAAAATCTTGATCCAATGCAGGAAATGATGAATCTGAAAATTTTCTATTGTTTATTTAGCCCCAATCCTCCATCTTTTGTCTTTGTTCACGCGCGATGACACAATTAATTAGTGCAATATGAAAGAAAAACGTTCAAGAACCCGTCAAAATTAATAAAATATATTATAATAGCATGTCATAAGTATGCAAAATTGTTATATTTTAGTTTGGACCAGGACCCTATTCCAAAATTCAATTCATTACAAAATATCTAGATCTGGTCGTGTAAATTTCTGCACGGTCTGCCATGTTGAAAAGAATGCGTCACATAAACCCTGACCTAAAGGTACATATATAAAATTTATCATAAATGACAGATATAACTTACTTGATACCGATAAATTGTAAATATTCCAGATGCTAGACATAGCAAGATGAAAACCAGAATGTCTTTTCTTTCCATATTTCAGGAATTCTTTTTTTCTATAGAGAGTTCTACACTCGTCATCACGATCACGACAAAACTTTTTTTTAGCCTGGAGGCACCTGCTACATTTTTCACTGGGTCAAATATTTACATCCTTTACTATTTTAATTTTGGTTTCAAAAATAAAATATCAATTTTGATTTAGATATCCTGATTTAACAAATATTATAAAATTAGATAATAAAAAATACAAAAAATATTTTTTTTCTATAATATCTACATACAAGAAACAAAATTTGAATTTAAAAAAAAACTGTGAAGAAAATAATGCATTCCATACTTCCGGAATATGTCATTAATTGTGCATGTTGTGCAAATATAATATTTTAAGAGGCAAATTACACATGTATGTTGATGCCCAGGGGTCAAACGCATGTACACAATCAAACTTCCGCTTGGAGTGCTAAAACTGGCAAAAGGCTCTAACTCTATACCTGATAACTTGGGGAGTCCATCACCTTCGCGAGTCTTGAAAAATCTGTGAATGCAGAAAAAGGACCAGGGGCAAGACCTCACTTATCAATGCTTACATGGTAAAAACATATAATTAGTATTAAAATGTTCCCTCCCCAACCCGTGATACATTATCATTTATAAGGTCGCCCTTAAAAAAAAATAATCCTCGTGCTTTTCTTAATTATTTATATTGATCATATACAAATTTAAATTGTAAAATTCAATTTAGTGTATGGAAAAATACTATAGTGCCTATCGCTAAAAGTGATCTTTTAGGGCTATACAAGGAAGAATACATGTACCTATCGCTAAAAATTGATCTTTTACGGTATAAGGTTGGAATGACAATCTTGCAATCAATTCTGATTCTGTATAACGAGGAAGGAAATCTGAATCTGCTAGCAAAATTAAACTGACAAATTTGGAATGCAATGAAATTCGTCTACATGTATTTTCATTTCCGAAGCTTAACTTCAGAGCATTCAAATATAGTGTTCCAAAATAATTTTTTCATCTCAGATTTACAAATGTTCAGTGTATATTTGCATCTGATCCTTTTAACTCAGAGTGTCATAATAAAGAAAAACTTTTTAAAAAACTTTTACTTTTCAGTCTTCTGTCTTCATTTGTTCATATTTATTTTACGTAGAAAATATATAAAAGGGGAATTTATTGTTATGTCGTAAATTTAGCATTTACTGTCACCTAGAAAATAAAGTTAAAATTGAGAAAATTGATAATTTATAAACTTTAGTTATTTTGTATGCTGCAAAAAGCATCAAAATTTGCATTGAATGTTCATTTACTATTCCTCTCCAATACATATGTAATTTGAAACCTTTAACCGAAAGAGACTTGTTTACTTTTCTTTTAAAATTACTCAAACTCAAGTAACTTAAAGGTAAGTACAAACCTTTTTAAAGAAATAAAACAGACAGATATGTATAAAAATTGTAAAATATAGTATACAACTCTAAGTATTACGAATCGTAACCATGGTAACCAATCTGGAAAAAATATGCTATCATATTGGATATTGCATTTCGATCGATAGTATCCCTTTTTTGGTGGACAAATACTTAAATAATTAATGAATTCTATATTTTATTTCCCGTTAAGTATTATGTTGAAAAACAGAGTTACAAATTGTATTTTGACATTTTCAGGGACATCTCAAACAAGCATTTAAATCCATTCACATCATACAGTGTACATGTACCATTTAAAAAGCAATGTTTGTTTATTACATGAACTCTCTTGCATGAGAGGTTAAATTCTGTGAAGTGGGAAGGGGTTCCTAGGAATTTTACGTTATTCAAATTCCTGTCCCTCCTCTTTGAAAGTAAAGATAAAATAATTTGCCTGCTTAAATTCCAATTCTTTTTTTTTTTTTCAATATCTCTTAATTACTTTTTCCTTGCCTTGCTTCTGAACCCCCAACCCCCACCCAACCTTCCTTCCGTCTCTGTGTAATGATCGGACACGATTTATATCTGAAAATATAACCCGATAGTTAGGAACGAAACTGTATAATCAAAGAACTTAAGTTCCGTAACATGATAAAGCTTATAACTTGTATGATTAGAATGCATGTATATTGTTTCACTGACGATTTCTATTAAAACAACACATATCCACACTACAATGTGTTATTTTCTTTCTCGGTTTAGCACATTTTGAGTTTTCTGATCAAGTTTTTGCACTACTTGGGATTGAATCACAGAGGAAAGTACAATGTTCACCCCCTTTGGATTGAATCACAATTGAATAGGAACCAGAAGTCTCTGGTGAGACCGAAGCTCTACTGGTTTTGATCTTTTACGAAACTTCAAAGAAGATAAAAGTATGACTTTGAATAGAAACTATGAAACAGCAATAAAAAGAATAGTGATCTGATCATTGGTTTACTTTCTTTTTGCGGCAAGATTTATTGTGGCCTTTTGCAAAATTTTTTTTTTTAAATTCTGCTTTTGATACCAATGGCAGTTCTGTTCATAAAACAGAATATTTATCTCGGTATAACGATCGCGCACGCCAAGTTACTATAGTATATCAAAATCAGACCAAAACTTTGGGAAAAGTGGCATTTTGAAAGTATTTTACAGAAATGTCTATTCTACATTGTAGCAGCCATGGAAAAAACCGATTATGAGAGTCTTAGTTACTATCTACCGTTCAAAAGTTATGGCCAAAGTAAAAGTTTGGAATTTTTGTGTAACATTGTGTCAAACTAAAAGGTCAAGGTCAAAAGATTAAATTTGGTGGTACCTAATTTTTTTTTTTTTTTTGGGGGGGGGGGGGGGGAGAGACGACTGACGGACACGACAAAGACTAGATACACTGTACCCCCGAATCTTCGATTGCATATACGGGGGCATAAAAATAACCTTGTTTACAACTTGTATTATTTTGGCCAGGCAATTCTTGAGGAGTAAATTTCCCAAGATTTCCACTGTATCTTTCAATTTAAACGCACTCATGTGCTCTTCTGTGTGAAATAATCTTCATTTAGGGCTGAATGTGACAGCGGCACCAGCTATAAAAGTGATGGAAACCAATTCTCTCTCAAAATGACCAAGGGTAAAAATTAGTTCGTCCAGGGACAAGAAAGTTTATTAAGGACAGACGAGACGTTCCTCAATACTAGATAATTTTTCTTAAGACTTTGTCATTGAACAAATACTACTTTAACATGTTTACTCACAAAAAATTGAGGTACCTTATCAGGCATTTGTGCGAGATACCAGATGATGTTATTTCTTAATTATATAATCCTTCAGGGGAAAAAAAGTTTGCCAAAATCAAATTTTAAGTGTTTCAACTTTTCAAAAACAACTAGAAACAGGTTTAGAAATCAGAAAGTGACTAATTTTTTTAATGATTATTATTATTTTTCTTACATTATGAAGATATACAAAACAGAAATTTGGGGAACGTATCGTCTGACCTTAAATACGAAGTGTGAAGAAATATTTAAAGAACAATCCCATGCATGCCAAAAATTATTTAAATACTAGGGCAAACGTGTTTGAAATAATTCAATTTTTTAATAAAAATATTGAGGGTGGTGTAATCAACATGCATGCTAGCAATTAATTTTTGTGAAAAAAAAATACAGCTATCACCCATTTGATCATCTTCGCTAGCCAAGGGTTTCCGATCCGAAATCTACTAGATTTCGGATAGGAAACCCTTGGCTAGCGAAGATGCCATTTGATGTGTATGTATTCCAAGAAAGATAATTATGCAGTAATCTTTCATCAAATTTTGTATTTTATTTTTCTCCCACAGAGAAATGCATGCAACAAAAGATACTCTGTAAAAAATAAATAACAAAGGATTTATTGTTATGTTTGTTCATGAATTGAGCATTCTGTTTGGTTCTACATATATAAAAAATACATATCATAATTTTGAACAACAAAGAAAACCTAATAATACTGAAAGGGTTTTGGTCCATACAGCACTTTATAAAACAAATTCTCTCTCTCTCTCTCTCTCATGAGTTTTGTCTTACAACATCTTTGAGACATAGATATCCTAAATAAAACCATGGATTTCCTGATCCTTTTGGAATGTACAACTGAAGTTCTATATTAGGCTTCAAAGCTTCCCTGCCTTTTTTACTGTACATAGAATACAACACTTGCTGGTCAGAATTCATTAATTTTTGGTCAAGAAAGTACAACACTGCTTTATGGTATAATTTTTCAAAGTCTAGAATTAGTTTTTCACTTCCGACAAACATACCGCCCCCGACCCAAACAATATTGTGTCTAAATATACTAAAAGGGTCTATATTCATTGAAAGGTCATTGACCCGGTTTACAGCTAATTTCTTGGGGTCAAAACCCGGTGGAATGTTCAATTCAAAAAACACTTTTCTATTTGAAATGTCTCTAAAATATCCTATATCCAGCCAAACGTAATAAGGAGCACGGAATATTTGTTTTTGCACTGCTTTGGCAACTACGGCATATTTGGCATGTTGGGCCGCGGCATATCCTGGATTCACTGTATTGGGATAGTGTTTCGGATAACCAGGTTGGCTATAGACAGCTTTTATTTGGTCTACAAGTTGAAAAGGCCATATCTCTGTACGATTTACTAAATATATTGCTGTAGTATTCATACGATCAGCTCTTAATTTTTCCATTAACTCTTTGAATTCTTTGGAGTCCGTGTACACCACCAGTGGATTGACAAGATATTTAAAGGAGGTGGCCCAAGAAAAGTAGGTGTTCGTCGAGAAATGCAGTTTGCCCGTTGAACCTTTTTGAAATGTCCCAAGATTCCAATACGCTGTGACAACTGTGAGATTTGACGTGTATTCTATCGGCTTTACTTTCTCTGTCACATAATTTTGTGAAAAATTCATAACCGATTTGAGATTCATTGAGGAAACTATTCTTTTCAAAACGTTGGACTCGTTCCATGCCTAAATAGAATAAAAATGATGTTAGTTAATACTTAATATTAAAATCATGCATTAATGAAACTGTAGCTGCAATCTACAACCAGTATAAAGAGAAACCCTTTATCTTTAACAAATTTCACAATTTAATACTACCCACCCCCATTCCCTCCCTTCGTTCCTTTGGCACCAAGGCGATAATTTTTTCGAAATTGAATCGGTCTACGATGTACAAAAGAGGCAAGTTAATTGGTTACTTTAAAACGATTTTTCCGTAAATCTTTATTTCAAACGCACTCTTTCCCATGAATTAAATGCATTAGACTGAACATCTCAGGACTGTGGCCTCATAATCAAGACGTAGGCAAAAAATTATCCTCTATATAGGGTATTTGCATCAATTTTACTTTAAAATCGGCAAATTACAGGTATGTAATGATGTTTTGTGCTTTGAATTTGCATAATGAGAGCCTTTACTGTTGTTTAGATGACCATTTTTAAGGAAATGTATGTATACTAAGTGTCATTTTGTAAAACATTGAATCCCTCAAAGTATCCACTTTCAAGGTTGTTTTTACCTATATGTTTACACAATGTCGCAGCTATTGCAGGTAATATTACATAACCCGCGTATTTTTTTTTGCAACAGCTGTGCACAACATTCATTCCGGTACTAACAACCAAAGAAAGACATTTTATTGTTTAAATAATATATTTAAATCTACATATCATTTTCTTTATTTTTTATGAAGACCATTGCCGTTAATCTGCCCATAAACGACACTGTAAAAGAAAGCCATCTGCATAGATTTCTTAACCCATGGCTGTTCCATCAGTTAAGCATACAATAAATTGTACTTCTATAATACAATATTTAGCATGTTTAATGTTTGTTTTTTTTTACCATAGAGATGAAAATATAAATAATATGTCTTTGTTTGTTAATACGGAAATTAACGTCGCAGCTATTGCAGAAAAATTACATAACCCGCGAAACAGCTGCGACAGCAAAAGCGCACTAACAGTCAAAGAAAGCATTTTACTGTTTAGATTACATGTGTAAAACTTATAGATCTAATGCAAATCTTACTGTGTGTGTCGGCCCTTCAAAATACAACATATAAATGTATATATGTTGCTTACAAATCACTTTGAACAATCTTGTTTCCTTAGATCACCTGCACTCTTGAAAAATTGCTTCAATGGGCAACATACCATTATCTTTCTTTGGTACTTTTAATGTAAATCAACGAATGGAATTCAAATGGCAATGTTTTAAAGATATATATGGCATATTTATTGATAAGTTCGGATAACTAAAATTAAAAAGATCTTTCTTTTTATTTATTACTTTAAAGAAAAATAGGACTTTTCCTAGTCAGTCACGTTTCACAGATATTAAAATTTTAAAAAGATAATAATCGATTTATTTACTGTCTCCACATTTAGATAACAGACAGATTAAAATTCAATTCAATTATAGAAACGTGAGGTTAATCAAGTTAAAAATTGGTAAAAAAAAATATATATATTTAATATGTATCTAATCTCAATCTCGTATAAGTATTTTTTTTAGCTTAAGAAATACGTATGACATGTCAAACATTGCAATATTCGATCTTTTTCATTTGGTATATAACTTTCATTTGTATTCTATAATTTTCCATTTAGTATGGAAGGGAATTACCGCCAAAAGTCTATGTATCTTGCTTTTATTCTTATTCTGCCTACTTCTTTATGCTTTGTTATTATTGTAATTATATGTCACTTTATTGTTTTCATATTCGTCTTAATTACATTTCACTTTGACTTTTATCATTCTTCATTTTGTCTTTACTTCTATGTTGCTTTATTCTTGTAAATTCATTCTACTTTCTTTTAAACTTAAACAGTTTCTTTAATAAATTATTAGCATTATTTCTACCACGAATATCAATTCAATCACGCTAACAATGAAGCATATTCAATGAAGACGAATGGAAGTTGTCAAACCGTCAAAATTTAGTGCCGCATTATAACGCTAGGTGGCGTGGTGTTCGCTACGAGTGTTGGTAAATCTAGGTAAGCAAACCCTGGTCGGGTTATCTGAGATTCTTCAATACGCCTTAATACTTTATCAATCGAACTTCTGAAGGCCGAATCCGATCTCCCGATCCAATGATGGAAACTCCATATTTATTTTCTCTTGGCACACAGGAAAAGCGGCTTCTTTTTTTCATACATAACCGGCGCGGATCCAGAAATTTTTCTAGGGGGGGGGGGTCCACCCAGTCAAAAAAAATTCCAATCCCAGAAATTTCTTGACAAGCAAAAAAAAAAAACCTTACTCGCCAAAACGTGAAAAACCTATTTCGTGGGGGGTGGGTGGGGTGGGGGGGGTGGGGGGGTAGTCTATGACTTCTATTGCCTCAAATCTTTCACTTTTCATACCCATTTCCCAAATATTCGTGTTCACCAGAGGGGTCCGCGTTTTCCAGGGGGGGGGGGGGGTCCAAGGTGACTTTTTTCTTGCTTTAGTATATACATTTTTTAACCGTGTAAATTCCAGGGGGGGTCCTGACCCCCCGGACCCCCCCCCCCCTCTAGATCCGCGCATGCATAACTTTATACTATACTAAATATGTTCATTTAAAGGCCGACCCACTTTTTGTAAGAGTAAGGGTCAAATAAGTAAATGTAGTACATGTACGTATAGTTGGAAGAAAATTTAAATTTGATTCTATAGAAGAATTTGAATCTAACTCAAAACCCACCCCGCCCCCGAAATAGGATTTCATTGGCGTCGGAAGTTAATTGAAAGTTGGAGGGGGAGGGGAGTAAGTGTAAGAATTTTTTTAGACCTTCAAAAAAAACCTGACAAGCAAAAAAAAAATGTTCATTTTTCAAACACAAAAAACCTATTTCGTGAAAAGGGGTGGGGATGGGGGTGGGTTGAAGGTTCGAACTCCAGTGCCAAAGTATTTATTTTCCAAATACCACCACTTTCCCCATTTTAAACCTTTACTGCATCGTGCCCATGGAAAGTGAGGGGGGCTAAACCTACGCATGAATGTTCAATGTCTATACTAAGTCTATCTTTGGAAAGAAGTGGGGGCAAAGCCCCGCCCCTCCCCGGTTCCGACGCCTATGTATTTTCAAGTTTGGACAATTTCCTGGGGTTTATTTTGCGCTTGTCAAGTTGTTTTCAACCGAGTAGCTTGAATATTTATTCTCTTGTTGCCCCCCTCCCCACTTTCAAAAACGATGCTACGTCACTGTTCTCTCGCCTGAAAAATATAACTCTACTAAATTTATTAGTTGGATAATTGAATTACAGTATAATTGTTATAAAAAATGTTAAATATTTTGATACTAGTTAACCCATAAAAATTGGGTTGTTTTTCTGCTGATGCGCGTAATTCTAGGGATAGGGCTTTGCAAAGGAGTGAGGAGCGTTATGGGTAGGCAGGCGCGGATCCAGAATTTTTTTCCAGGGGGGGGGCAACCAAGTAAAAAAAATCCTATCCCAGAAATTTCTTGACAAGCATAAAAAGAAGAAAAAACCTAAACTCGCTCAAACGTCAAAATTCAATTTCGTAGGGGGGGTTAACTTTTTTTTCCTTGTTTTAGTAACCTTGTTAATTCCAGGGGGTCCTAACCCCCCCCCCCCCCCGATCCGCGCATGGAAGGCGAAGTCTGAACCAGATTACATGCACCCAGGCATTCTAGAAACACCCTGGTCTTTTTTTCTGAGTTAATATTTTATATTAAATTAGCACTTTTCAATTAAGAAAGAAATATCTTTAGTATGCATCGTGTTTGTCATCAACCAGGAGAGCTAAAAAAATCTTAAAACTCAAAAATTCTATTTGACGGTGGTGAAACGGGAGGGGAGGTCGTCAACTTTTTTCAGTAATAAATTTTACTCATATGCCCCTAAGTACATGACTTTTAATATATAAATTGACTTTTAGTACTGCAACAGAAAGTGTAAGGGATAAGGGATGAGGGGCAACAAGCCTTTCGCTGAACTTTTCCAGTAGTAAAAAGTTACGTTTAGGAAAATGTTTCGTGGCCACCCTCTCCTCTACCGATGGAACTTACCCCATAGGAGGTCGTCCACCCGGAAGTCAGTCATATATATTGAGACTTTGGTGGTGTGATTGTACATTGTATAATTTCCTTTTCGAGAATTTTTCACTCAAATGGAGAAGCCACCTCTTGCCGGTGGAGAGCTGCAAATTTGTCTTATATACTCGGCACTTATAGCCATTGAGCAGTGAGGGATCTTTTTTCGTGCCAGCACCTTCTGTGACACGGGACCTCGGATAATAAGGTCTAGATCTCATCCGAAGGACCGAGCTCCACATCCTATAGTGGGATTCGAACCCACGACGTATTGGTCGACTCCTTACTACTGTACTTCGTGATTCTATATAGAACAGACGCCGTAACCACAGTGCCACGCGGGCGACTGCATCCAAAGGGGGGGGGGGGGGGAGAAAGAGACATTATCCATATGTACTCGTGGTTAAAATGATTTAATTATAAAACACTATTAAAATGATATTATTTAAATATTTATTCATGTAGAACCAGGCATCTATATACTTGTATATAGGTCCCTGATAGAACGGATAAATTTTCTTCTAAAACTGTTAGTATATATAAACATTGTTTTACGATTAAAAAAAAACTATTCGGGGAAGGGGTTGCTAGGAATGGGGGCGAATTGCTATATATAGCGAGATTTCCCACGGAAGACTAGCTATATATTGAAACTTCCCCGGGGGAAGTCCCATTGTATAGTCTTTCGAAGGAAGCACCACTATGTAGTCAGTCTTCCAGGGGAAATCTTACCATCTAGTGAGACTTCCGAGGGAATGGCATGTATCGGGTACATACCTGGACTTATAACAAACATCAGTCTTTTAAAAAATTCAAGTTTGATTAATAAAGTATTAAGGCAGAAAATTGAAAAAAAAAAACTCGAATAACCCCGGCACGGGTTTGCTTACCTAATTTTACCAACACTCTTAGCGAACACCCCTGCCACCTAGCGTTATAATGCGGCACTAA